ATCCCGGCAGCCAGGTTGCCAATGCTCCTTAAAAAGGACCGTTGGCACCTTACTTTTGAGGTTTTTTCTAGTTGTCAAAGGAGCTGGCTACTTTAAAAAAAATCCAGAAGGCTCCTGAACTCCATATTCATTTGTTCAGATCTGCTCTAAACCAAGGGAGGGCAAGTTAATATTGAATTTCAGTTGGTCTAATCCAGGGGCCTCCAGCATTTTTTGGGGGGACTAGAGAGAACCTCAAAAGTTAGGCGTCAGGTGTAATCATTAATGCACATTGGCCACCTGGCTTCTGGGATGTGACCAGCCTTGCTCTTAGCCAATATCGAATCGGTTGCCATGGGTTGGTGGACCATCAGCCATGTTTAGTTTAGTCACATGACCAAACATTAGAAAGTTACCACGTCCCATTATCTGCACGTTTAAATCTTTGCTTTTCAGAACAAACACCTGGCACTCATCCATTCCCCCTCCACCTTTGAAGTTATCTTGACATCCTCTTATCTGTATTTCAGGCTCCAAGATTACCCTGCAAACCCCCCAAACAGCAAATAGATCCACATTAAGGCATTCTAAACCCACACAGCCAATCTCAACATGTATATACACAACAATCCCACACATTTATAACTTTTATAACTGACATTGCAAAAACTATCTTTGTATTCCGACTCGGTCACTGTGAGCATACCTGGCTAGTTCATTAGATATGCGCTTTAAACGCAGGGTTGACACCAAGTGTGAATGAGGCTTTTTTCTATACAGCACAATGCACATCACTCCTAGTCTACGTAAACACTGCATTGCAACAATGCATTGTACTGCCCCCTACACAATGCACACCGGTGGGTGCACTCTATACAGATCATAACGCATGCCCACTGGTGTGAATGGGCCCTCAGATCCAGTTTCTCTCCTGTTGTGTGTATTCATTAGAGCAGGGGTAAGCAACCTTGGCACTCGAGCTGTTGCGATACTACAAATCCAATGAGGCTTGGCAAGACTGACAGGATTTGTAGTTTAATCACAGCTGAAGTACCAAGGTTACCTACCCCTGCATCAGAGGGCTGCCGAGATCTAATCTAATAGAAAAAAAAAAAAAAGCTGAGATTTCTGTGCTTCTGTTGTGAACTTTGAAGATGAATTTGTCCACAACGTCTATAACTACAGAGATGAATGAGGGCTCGCTTTAAAGAGCTTTCACAAAATATGGAAATACTTTAGTGTGCATAGGCGGCTCACTTTTAAGAGATGATATGCGTCAAACATCCCCCAACTGGAGCTGAAGGGTGCTAAAGGCTTTGAGGAAGCTGCTTGCTGAAAGGTTTGCAGATGCTTTGTATAAGCTTACTGTACACACTGTTCTCATACAAGCTGAAACCCGTGTATACAAGACCTTGTGTAGCGTGGATTGCCGCATGCGCCTTGCTGTGGGTTTTTTTGGATGCAAGCAGGTCCTATTGAGAAGTGTTTTGCAGAAAAAGCAGATCAGAGCAACCCATGTACGTAGATGCATCTACTGCACTTTCCCCAAACACATGCGCTCAGGTAGTGCTGCGTTCCTGCACAAAACGCAGCATTCAGAAACAAACGCCATCCACAGGAGCCCCAATTCATCTGAACATTCAACCAAGACACTACACACTCCTTCTAGGAATGCTGAGCACAGCCAAAGCATAACTGGGATTCTCCACCTTCTCTTCTCAGCAGGATTCCACAAACTAAACCACAATGCCCAGGGGCAGGGATAATCAATGGCCGAGGGACTGCCAGGAGGCACAGACGACACTAGTCCGAAATAGTTTAAAGGACCCATTGTGTATCTGGGATCCGGAGGAAGGAACATAAACACACAGCCTCTCATCTTATCCCACTAGCTGATAACTGGTTATAGGTTCTCATTAAAAGCTATACAGCAATGTGCAGAGATTCAGAAGCAGACCCCCTGACCTGATCTGAGGATCTGATACATGTGAGAAAAGAAAGTCGCTATGGGCAATTTCTGAAACGGCTTTTATAAAGCGGGCCCCCAAAATAAGATAAGCAATGCCTTGGTGTAGCACTGATAATCATCAGGAAACACTAAAGACAGAGCAAGGCTGCCCATACACTGATCCCATTCTCTTTTGTCTTCCCTGCAGGCTAAAATAATGAGTGAACATGAAGGGCCCATTGGTTGAGACTGAGGCAAATCAGCATTTGACCAGTGTTTAAAGAAGAACTCTGTACAGAATTGTTACTAACCCTTGCAGTGGGGCTACCCCTGCGCTGCAAAGGTTAAGTGTTCGTTTTGGTCTAGAGAAAAATAAATAAAGTTACTCACCCGATCCTCAGAGCGGGCCAGCTGGGACAGCGCTCCCTCTTGCCTGTCTCCTCCGCTGCAGTAGTGGTATGTCCCTGGCATCCTCACGTTCCATACGTGTATAGAACCTGATGATTTACTGGACCTTAGACTGCTGCAGGGGAGAGGGAGTGAGGGTGAAAGCCCCGGTCTAAGAGCAAGCCGACTCCAAGGATTGGATACGTATAACTTTATTTTCCTCCCTAGACCAAAACAAGCAGTTAACCCTTAATTAAAGGAGCCGGGCTGAACCTTTCTGGCCGGACAACGACTGCAGCTAATCAGCTGCCCACACTGGGCATGTATTCTGGCAGCAGTGGGTGCCAGCTGTCAGAAGACAATAGCTGCAGCAGGAGGTTCGTCTGTTTAGAGTGGGTGGAGGAATCTGTTGTATTTTTGTTTCGCGTTCAGCTTGAAAATAAATAGTTTATGGACCAGCTTAAAGCAGAACTCCGGGCAAAAGTGTTCTTAACCCTTGCAGTAGGGCTACCCCCGCACTGCAAGGGTTAAGTGCTTGTTTTTCGTCTAGGTGCTTAAAAAAAAGTTATACTCACCCAACCCTCGGTGCCAATTTGCTCTTAGACCGGTCCCTGGAGCCTCTCTCCCCCTCTGCAGTGGTCCAAGGTCCCGGAGTCATCACATTCTATACACAGTGTATTAGACCTGAGGACACCGAGGGATGTACCATTACTGCAGCAGAGGAGGTGACAGGCTTCAGGCACTAGGGTAGCTGCAGGCTCTGTGGTTTGGGCGAGTATAACTTTTTTTTTCTTCTTAGCACTAAGACACAGATGAGAACTTACCTCTTGCAGTGCAAGGGTAGCCCCACTGCAGGGGTTAGGAAAAATTCAGCCCGGAGTTCTGCTTTAAGGCTACATTCACAATTCTTTACACTTGCCAGATCATTTCTCCTGCGTTTATATCACCTAAACACAGGAGAAATGATCTGGGACGTATAAACAAACGTTATGCTTCCCAGATCTCCTTCTCCAGCATTTAGATATCCCGGCCTTATGCGGCTTTAGCTGCGTTTATACGTATTTAGTCACGGGTTTCTAAACGGATCTGGGCCGCACCTAACGCACAGTTTGAATGATACAATTAAAAATCATGATATGCTTTTAGACTTGTCCTCTAAACGCATCTAAAATGCATCCTTGTCCATGCCAGGGGAAATGTAGTTTTATTACACTGATCAGGTTCAGGGCTCTGGGTTAAGCGAAGGCCGCTCTACCGCAAAATGCGTCACGCCAATGGTTCAGAAAAGAAACTCCTGTCTATTGTCCTGCAGATGTCTTCTTAAAACAAGGACTAAACCACTTCTATTGTAGCTGGAAAGTTCTAGGTTAACACCGACATGTTTTTTATGGTTGTCCTGGGAGATGACATGACTGTGCTGATCATACAGGGTTCCGATTTATCCACTGAGCAGCTGAGTTACATGTCCTAGGGA